AAAAACAGAGACAAAAACAAACTTATTTCCAGGACTACTCCAAAGAGGCTGAGTCAAATACATGTTTAAATAATAGGCTAGATCAAAAGAAATGATATCTTGCCATTTGCAATGATCTTCCTTATGGGAAGAACTTGAGAGGCAATGTTTGGGGGATTGGGGGGTAGGGAAGGAAAAAGTGAAACAAGATGGGTTCAGGAGGGAGACAAACCATAAGAGACTCATAATCTCACAAAACAAACTGAGAGTTGCTGGGGGAAGGGGAGTAGGGAGAGGGTGGCTGGGTTATGGACACTGGGGAGGGTATGTGTTATGGTGAGTGCTGTGAAATGTGTAAGCCTGATGATTCACAGACCTGTACCCCTGGGGCTAATAATACATTATATGTTAATAAAAAATAAAAAATAAATATTAGGCTAGTAAAAAAAAGAAAAAAAAATTTAAATGGAAATGTTCACAGAGAATTCACTAATCACTCATCAAATGTACATTCTTCCCCTAAAACAACAATTTTAATTTGTTATTCAAAAGAACAGCAACTCTTGCTTGCTTCCCATAAACCATGAGGGAGTAGCTGCAATTGTTTATTTTTAAAGAGACAGATTCTTTTTTTTTTTTTTTTTTTAAGATTTTATTTATTTGACAGACAGAGATCACAAGTAGGCAGAGAGGCAGTCAGAGAAAGAGGAGGAAGCAGGTTCCCTACTGGGCAGAGAGCCCTATATGGGGCTCTATCCCAGGACCCTGGGATCATGACCTGAGTTGAAGGCAGAGGCTTTAACCCACTGAGCCACCCAGGTGTCCCTAAAGAGACAGATTCTTGATCTCAAGTTTATTTTGAGGATAAACTGCCGTTTTGCTATTCAGAGCCAGTTTTTCTCCATAATTTCTTTCCAGAGCTCTTGGATCTTGAGAAAGAACAGGAAAGCATGGATTCAGACTTCTTGTCTTCAATCCTTGAATAGTTTTTGGCATTTCCTCTAACTCCATAGGCTTCAAGAATGTCTTTTTAGGGTAATGCTTTTTGGGGCTTCTCTGATCCTTAACTGAAGAATGGCAACCACTTTCCCTCTTTCAATATGAACAATTTTCCCAATGAAGAAGCCATCACCACTGTCAAATCACTATCCTCAGACAGGGAAGATGGTAAAACTTTTCTTCTTCATATCTTTCTTCCCCATCACTCCTACTGCTAACAGGGCTTTCAGACTTTCTCTCTCTCTCTCTCTCTCTCTCTCTTTTTGTTGTTGTTGTTCACTTAATGTTTTTATGTTGGGGTCAGCTGGTGTCTTCTAGAGTTCAGGGGGAACTACAAAGTCTTTTTCAGAAGGCAGTGATGGAAAATTTGAAATGGGCACTCATTTGGGCCCAAGTTCCAGCTGGGCTGTTTTTTTTTTTTTTTCTTTTAAATGATTTATTGGTTTGTCAATATTTTGGCTTCTTTTCTTGTTGGCTCACTTCAGATAATTACTTCACACCATCATTTACTTGTATCATAATCATAACCATTACGTTACTTGTCCTTAGAATAATTTTCTTCCAAAGCTTTCTTTAAGGACTTGACTTCAATAACATTCTGTATTGCATCTTTGAAAGCTCTGACAGCAGCCTTTTCATTTTTTATGAAAGCCAGTGAATCCTGCTGCAGACAAAACAGAACTTGGATTTTTAGATTTTTAGACAGACAATACCTTGAAGAAGAAAGAACTCAGGCAATAAAGAAAACCTAAAGTTTATTTGGGGTCTTTAGGAATTTGAATTGGTGAGTAGGAGATTCAGAAGGAAAATGAAATGTGCTCCAAGGAGGGAGGAGAAAGAGTTTATAAAGGCAAAACCAAATGCTTGTATAAGTTGTTTTGAAAAAATTATGATGGACATAGGTAAAAATAATTAACACTGATCTAGATAGGTCAGGTTACTATGCTAACTGCTAGGCTGGAGTATGGCAAAATAAATCTCATTCTGAGAATTCCAACAGAATATGCTATTTGTGGTTGGCAGTCTAAAAAGTTCATGTTCTATCCAAGTATGATTGAGCAAAAGCCTAAGCTGCGTAGGGCCCCCTGGCTCTAATATATGGCCTCTTGACATTTTTACTTCATTTTAGATGCTTCTGTTCACAATATCAGTTCTACTCCCTTTATCTAACAGTCAAATACATAAAATTACTTTTAGTGTCAAAGTGGTAACTATTGTTAAAGTAGGAGAAGATTCCAAATATCTTCATTTTCAATGCTCCTTCTACTGTATCATTAATGCTGCTTCAGGATTCCTTTATATTGTTTAATTATTCATGGAGTTAATCATTTAAAAAAGAATAAAGAAAAGAAAGGAGGAGGTAGGGGAGGAGGAGGAAGAGCAGAAGAGGAAAGATTTCTTACTTTATTGCTTTCCCTCTGTAGTTGACCCTTGAAAAACATGAGTTTGAACTCCAAAGGTCTACTTTCACACAGATTTTTTTTTATTAAAAGAGCACAGTATGTAAATATGTTTTCTCTTCCTTATAACTTTAATAACATTTACTTTTCTCTACCTCACTTTACTGTAAGAATACAGTAGAGAATATATCTAACATACAAAATCTGTGTTAACCAACTGTTCATGTTATTGGTAGGGCTTCTAGTCAACAGTGGACAACTAGTAGGTAAGTTTTGGGGGAGTCAATTGTACATGTATTTTCCACTATGAAGAAGGAGTGGGTGTGCCAATGCTTGTGTTGTCTGAATGTCACCAGTACTAGGATTTCTTGATTTTCCTCAAATATCTAATATGCCTGAAGGTTCTAACCCCAAGTCTATTCTCTCTTTCCGAACTCTTCTGAAAATTCTTTGACTTCATTACTTCAAGCTGCCGGTTGTCACCTCCCACCTCCATGAAGAGAGGTCTCCAGTGTGTATCTGCAGCCCTCTTCTGGCTTTAGCCACTCTTCAGGTATCACTTTGGGTGAACAAGCAACACCACAGATGTCAGACAGCAAAAGAAAACAAGAGCTACAAAGTGTCAAAAAAAACCACATTGAAGTCCAGACATCAGGAAGGAAAATGTTATGGGGGTGGGGAGACTACTGCAATTAGAGAATGCACTGGCCATCTGATCCCTAAGTGTCTTAAAGGTCAGACAGAAAGGACATTTTTAGGGAGGAATAAACAAGACCACAAACAACCAGGTGTGGGGGAATGAACAGGTGGCATGATCAGACAGTTGAGCAAGGAATGTTTTTATGTGTGTCCGTAAGCTTTCTCTTTGGTCCTCATTCTTGGGAGGGTCCATAAAAGAAGAGCTGTTTTAGGTTCCACTGCCTTGGAGAACCTCAGGAGCAAGCCAGAGATCGGAGGGGAGGAGAAGAGTCCAACTAAATTTTAGTGAAGTCACATGCCTGGGCATTTTGTTCAGGTCCATCAGTGAGAACAAATAGGGCAGTTAATCCTTCATGAGACAAAGAATGGGGATTTAGAATTGCTGTGTCTAGACTTGTCAAGGGTAATCGAGGGGAACACTGCAAAACTTACATCATACAGAGAAGGGTGGTTCTTTGCATCAAGCTGTTTCCAGAATGCAAAAAGGTAGGGGGATTTCTTAATCATTGCTGTTTTCCAGGAGTACAGAGATCAGTAAACTTGAACACTGCCAAAACAAAACCAGACTTTCCTTTTACCTCATGAGGTATTATTTTACCTCATGACAATGTTTCCCCATCATACCTTCCCTGTTCTCATCAGTACGATTACTGAGAGCTCAGCAGCTCTGTGACCAGAGCCCACTCAGAGCATTTTTTAAAGTGGTTGCCCTAGAGCACATAGTACTCCACATTGATGCAGGTTAGGCTGCCATACGTGCTTAGGTAAGTGATGGGCATTTCCTCCTTCTCCACCTTCTTCTTGACAATCGTACTATATCTAGAATAACCCTCAACTTTAGAAGGCTATTACACATCTCCAGGAGAAGATTATATCCATAAGAGTCTTCTATCATCAGAAATCTCTCTACCATACACCATTCATCAAATTCTCATACTGGTCCCTATTTGACATTTTTCTGGCCCAAATTCCTTATTTCCTAAAATCCCTTTAATTGTGTCTTCAGGACTGCCCCACTGATACCAACTCCCTATGCTGCCCCAACTTCCTCTCAGGGCATTCCCTGTCCATTACCTTGATGACACTACTCTCCCATGGCCTATCAAGTGGACACTGTTTTCTCCCCTACTGAGTGTCCCTTTAGCTTCAATCATGCCAAATGGGGTGGGTGAGGAATGAGAGAATTCTGTTGGTATTTATCAGGTTGATATTACATTTATAAATAAATTTATGGATAACTGATGTCTTTTTGGTGTTAAATCCTACATACCTCAAAATATTGAAAGCAGGGGCGCCTGGGTGGCTCAGTGGGTTAAGCCTCTGCCTTCGGCTCAGGTCATGATCTCAGGGTCCTGGGATGGAGCCCCGAGTTGGGCTCTCTGCTCAGCGGGGAGCCTGCTTTCTCCTCTCTCTGTCTCTGCCTGCCTCTCTGCCTACTTGTGATCTGTCAAATAAATAAATAAAATCTTTAAAAAAAATATTGAAAGCATTTTCATTTTTTCAAGTCTCCTTTAGGTTTTTGGTTTCTTCAGAAAGACTTTAATTTTCCACATCTAGCTTACTGCTACTTAAGAGTATTTAAAGGTATTTTATGGGGTGTCTGGGTGGCCCAATCGGTTAAGCATCCAACTCTTGGTTTCAGTTCACATCTGATCTCAGAATCATGAGACTGAGCTCCAAGTTGGGCTCCACACTCAGCAAGAAGTCTGCTTGAGATTCTCTCTCCCTCTCTTTCTGCCCCTTCGCACCATGTGCATGCTTTCTCTCTCTCTAAAACAAATAAATCTTTAAAAATAAAAAATAAGTAATAATTTATTATTATAATAAATAAAATGATAACAATAAATAATAATAAATAAAATAATAATAATAAAAATAAATTATTTTATTTTACTTTGCTGTTTTAAAGGGGATATACTCCTCAACATGTTGTGTAGCAAAATGCTTTTACATGTGAAGATTATTGATTTATTCATTAATTTTGTTTATCTTAACTCACAATTCTGTTCTAATTAACTTAGCTAGCTGTGGTCACTAATACTTCAAATAGTAATAGTAGTAATGGTAATAGTGATCATTTTTATACTTTTTAAAAAAAGATTTTATTTATTTATATGACAGAGATCATAAGTAGGCAGAGAGGCAGGCAGGGAGGGGGAAGCAGGCTCCCTGCTGAGCAGAGAGCCTGATGTGGGGCTCGATCCCAGGACCCTAAGATCATGACCTGAGCTGAAGGCAGAGGCTTTAACCCACTGAGCCACCCAGGCTCCCCGATATACTTTTTTTTTTTATTATAGAAGGAATATGCCATTTTTTCCTCCCAAGTTGTTGGATTTTAAGTCACAATAAATATTTTTGTCATGTTAGGTAAATAGTAACTACTAATCATCTGAAAATCAAGAACAGATGTTAAATTATGAGATGATTTTTCCTCATCTATGGAGATTTATCATAGGGGACTTATCTTTAGGCATATAATGAATATTACTACTATACTTCTTAATATCAAATACCCATGTTCTTGGAATAAATTCCACCCTGGTCATGATGTACTGTTTGTGTTATGGGAGAGTTACTTTGCCTTTTCTCTTAGTTGACATATTTCTTCCTGGTTTGTGTCCATTCTGCAATTCAACTTATTTCTTGAGTTGTTTTTTTTTCATCAACTATTTCATCAATTATTTTTCAGACTCAGTATTTCCAGTGACGATTTCTAATGTCTTATTTTTCTTGCTTAATGTTTCTGTTATCATCCCCTGTATTTATTCTGCCTTTTCCTATAAATCTACTTTCACCTGTTAAAATGGTACATTTTTAAAAACATTTTGTTTATTTCTTTGACAGAGAGAGAGTACAAGGAGGGAGAGCAGCAGGCAGAGGGAGAGGGAGAGCCAGACACCCCGCTGAGCAGGGAGCCCAATTCGGACCTCAATCCCAGGACCCTGAGTTCATGACCTGAGACAAATGAAGACACTTAACCAACTGAGCCACCCAGGTGCCCCCAAATGGTCTGTTTTATTGTGTTTTTTCACCAATGGTTGCTCTGTGAAAACAGCCTTTAATGTTTTCTCTCTGATTTCATATTTTCCTTGGGAAACTGCCTCCTTAGCCTAGTAATTTGAATCCATGTACAGAGATCAAGTTGCAATCACAGCCTCCAGGTTTGAAGGATAGAAATGGCATTGCTACTCACGGCAAAGACCACTGACATTTCTTTTTCCATGGGTAAATCACTATCCCTTGTGTTATGTTGTTACTTACTCCCATCGTCAACTGGGGCATCTGAGAATAATTCTGATGTTACCTCACCAGTCCTGGTTAGCCCAGTGCTAGATTTTTTTTTATTTGTTTTTATTTTCTGCTTTAGGAAACAAATATTATGGCACTGACCCACAAAAGGCAGTGATAGGAAGACCATATCATACTTAAAAACCTCTTCCTCTGGGGCACATGGGTGGCTCAGTCATTAAGCGTCTGCCTTAGGCTCAGGTCATGTTGCCGGGGTCCTGGGATCGAGTCCCCGCATCAGGCTCCCTGCTGGGCAGGAAGCCTGCTTCTCCCTCTCCCACTCCCCCTGCTTGTGTACCCTCTCTTGCTGTATCTCTCTCTGTCAAAGAAATAAATAAAATCTTTTAAACAAATAAAATAAAAACCTCTTCCTCATTCATATTCATATATGCAATATTTTTCTATATCCCACTCTTGGATGTTATCCCACTCTTCGATTCTACCCATCCACTTGTGTTTCTCACCCTTAGTGTTTCTTATTTTTTATCATAGTTTAACAAACCCATCAGCCTCCTAAAGCCTTTGGTACCATGTCCACAACAGCGATTATACAAGGAAATATGCAGGTCCATGCTAGTTCACCATATTTGGAGGAAATAGAAGTCTCAATGTATTTCTACCCAGAATTTTTTTTTAAGTCATTAGACTGATGCAAAGTAGTTCAGGGCTGAAAAGTGATTGAGGCAACTTGATAAACTCCTAGCAATTGAGTTTAAGCACCACTAGTACATCCGAAGTAAAAGACTGACTTATTTTAGTTTAATATTTTACCAGGTTTGAGAAGATACCAAGGCCAAGACTGTCCAATCCCAAAATGCCTAGCCACACTCAGTTAAGAGCTGTAACTGACATGTCAATGTAACAAGACATGTCGCAATGACTATCTTTCCCAAGAAACTAAGTGAAGTGTCTATGAGATTAGTTCATATTGGTACTGGTACAGCTGCTGAAATTCTCTGATGGAAGTACTTTTCCTCTCCAAACAGAAGCATCCACTTCCTTGGTGACTTAGAGGTTTTTAGAACACTACCTCCCACTTCCTGTTTTGTTTTTTTTTTTTTTTTAAGATTTTGTTTATTTATTTGACAAAGAGAGATCACAAGTAGGCAGAGGGGCAGGCAGAGAGAGGCGGGGGAAGCAGGCTCCCCACTGAGCAGAGAGCCAGATGCAGGGCTGGACCCCAGGACCCTGAGATCATAACCTGAGCAGAAGACAGAGGCTTAACCCACTGAGCCACCCTGGTGCCCCCCACTTCCTGTTTTGTAGTTGTTCCACATTCCCTGGAATGTTGAGAATCTGTAACCCTATAGACTCTTAATTTGACTAGAAAC